TTCACTGAACTGGCATTTTTCCCATTCCATCTTCATTTGATGTACAATAAAGGAATAGGGGAAGGTGAAAATGAAATAGAGAAAAATATACTGTAGTAGTTGGATACAGTGGAACCAAATTGCAGTTTCTTTACTGAGAATGTCTTCTTGGTCTATAGGAACAGAGTTCTGGAGTAAAGCAGCATGTTCCTTCTCTAGCAGACACCTGCTCTTTGCTGCTGGAACACATCAATTTTATTTTCATCCTCTATTTCCAACTGTGCAGGTATGTCTGTTTCATTGATTGGCTGCCCTTCGAATGGGAATCTGGTCTGCCTTGTTGACAAACCCTGGAGTTCACAATAGGCTTTCGTTAGTTTACTGAGATTTACAATGTACCACAGAATCATCCTGCCCCACCACCTTCAAATTAGCATGACCGTTGTTCTCAGTCTTGACTCTTTCCTTGGGCTTTCAACAGCCATGGAGAGCTCTGGAATCTCCTCTGCTGCCATTTCACAAAAGAGGTACCAGGCTTGTACCTAACGAGCACACAAGTACCAGGAGCAGAAGCAGAAGCACTTCATTTCTTTTTATGGTTGCACAACATTCCACTTTATGAAATACGTATTTTGTTTATTCTTTTATTAGTTGATGGACATTTGAGTTGTTTACACCTTTGGCTATTCTCTCTCTTGCTGTCTCTCTCTTTCAGTAAAGTACTGAGTCATATGATAACTGTATGTTTTACCTTTTGAGAGATTGCCAGACTTTTTCAAAGGGGCTGCATCACTTTGCTTTTCCATCACCAAATATGAGGGTTCCAATTTTTCCATATCCTTGCCAACACTTGCTATTATGTGTTCTTTTGATTGTAGCCATCTTAGTGGGTGTGCAATGGTATCTCATTGTGGTTTTGATCTGCAATTCACTGATGGCTAAAAAATGTTGAACATCTTTCATGTCTATATTGGTCATTTGCTTGTCTTCTTTGGAAAAATGTCTATTCAGATTCTTTGCCCATTTAAAATGTTTTCATTTTAGTACTAAATTGTAAGAGCTCTTTATTTATATTGTAGCTACAAGTCCCTTATCAGATATATGCTTTGCAAAAACTTTCTCTCATTCTGTGGGTCTTTTCATTTTCCTGACGGTGTACTTCTAAACACAAAATTTAAAATTTTGATTGTATCTAATTTATTTTTTCTTTTGCAGGTTGTGCATTTAGTATCATATTTAGGAAACTACTGCCTAATCCAAAGTCATGATGATTTACATCTATGTTTTCCTCTAAGAGTTTTTTTTTACATTTAAATCTCATCCATTTTGAGTTAATTTTTGTATATGCTTCAAGGCAGTCATCCACAAGCACATTTAAATGTTTACTTTTTCATCTTAACAATGTCAAACTTTAAACAGATTCAGATTCCAAAAGTCTTTCTTAGCTCTTGAAAGATCTGGTAATTTATCACTATTCTATCTACTTTTCTGTAATTGAGAAAAGTGTTTATCAACTCATTTTTTTCCACTTCATAGTAGCTCGCTAATTTTTAAAGTTTTATTTTATACTTTGCTCTTCTTACTCCTACATTAATATTGAGAAAATTAACATTTCTTCTGAACACAACTTTTGTCATTATAAATTGAGTTACTGTGATACAATTACAAAGTTATAAACAGGCCTCTATAAAGTTAATTTATGTCTACTTTAATTTTCCATATTTGCTACTTTAAATTCTTAACAGAATATTTTCAATCTTGTTTCAAGTGTCACATTTGTATTTTTAGCTTAACTTTTATAATTATTTTTTAGTTTGTAGGTGGGGGAAATTAAACTTTGAACAAATTATTTCAGCCTCTACCTTACTTCTCTATTTTCAGGTCTTCCCAGTAACCTATTGAAACAATTCCCCTCCATTTTTTTTAAAAAAAAGCTTGGATTCTAATATTGACTCTACCCACTTTCCAACTCTATTTACCAGTAACATCTCAATCCCTACATCATGAAACTCTTCATGGATTGTTTTTTCAATTGCTCACCAAAACATCCTCTACCTTAGCATAAAGAACACACAAATTTCTCTAATAGTTTAGAGCCATCATCATTTACTCCAAGATGAGAATTAACTGGTTCTGTTCCCCATAGTTCGTCCACTAAATCTTATCCTTGGTTTTTCACTGATTAGTACTTCTAGCTGGCCTGTGTTAGCTCATGTAGCTCCTCCTTCTATACTGGGGTAAAAAACTTGCAACACCATTGTAAAGGATGTCATTACTCTTTATCAGTGAAGAGTAGAACAAGAAGAAGTCACTTGAGTCAGATACTCTCAAGATTCCTAAAGGATTAGAGATCATTTCTCAGTTCCACAGCACCTATGCCAGGGAGCATCCAGACAGAAGGTAAGGTGTAACTATTCTTTCCATTAGTTTGCTTGTCTTTTACAAACCTAGCTTCAAAATAGATATGTAGTGTAAATAGCTTAAAAAAAACTTTTTGCAACTGCATTTTTTAGCTTACTTCTAATATATCAATTCTGAAATAACTCCCTACTTAGTTCCTTTTCTTGGGAATTATGGAGCCATTATATTCACATTGAAATACAGTGAGGGTATATGTATTGGCTTATGTGTATAAACATATACCAAGCAATGTTTCTGTTTGAATAATATGCTTATGTATTGTTACAAAAATACTTTTACTTCATGAACTTTTTGAGCTGAATCCTTTCCTTTTTATTTAAAAAACAAAAACAAGGTAACATGTAAGAATAGGGCAAAAAGCATTTCCCTTTAAATATTTAAAGTACTCAATCTAAAAACTCTATTAAAGAATTATTTCTACCTCGCCTGACTGCCTAAACTGAGAAACAGGACTAACAACTTAGAGATATTATTAATGCTTTAATTTCTCTTTAGAAAAGACTATCATAACTTTATTTCAATCTTATTATTGCATAGGAGATGTAAATTTGATTTTTATTTCACTCATTTAGGAATTTTGATCTCTAAGTTTTCTCATACTATTTTTATTTTCAAAGTCTTAATATTCTCAACATTTAGTATCTTTCATTTATTAGTACTGATAAATAAAGGAAACAAATGTTTTATGTCATAAGGTTCATTTCAAATATTTAAGAATTTCTCTCAGGGACATGGACAACAGCGTGGTGATTGCTGTGGGGAGGGAAGTGTAAGGAGACTAAATGGTAATGGAAAAAAAATAAAAGATCAGCGAATAGAGTACATACTCCAAAAAGAAGTTTTCACAGAATAATTTAATATAAAAGAGGAAATCATAAAAAATCTAAGAGTTTATCTTCACATCACTGTCCATCTTTAGAAATATCCCAAGAGTATCATATTGCTGTAAAGAATTCAACAAGTATATATCAGATTTATTTTATGCAAAATAGCTCTTTTACTTAAAGCTCTTTATAGCCTGGTTGAAAAATATATATTCGTGATAGTATTTATCTTCCAAATTAAAAATGTACTATTTTAATACCTAACAACATAGAGACACCTAAGTAATGATACTATAATTTGTACCAGCTAGTCAGCTAAAAGAATATCTCACAATAAATGCCCAGATTTTTCTTCAAATTCAAAATATCAAATACTACTTCAGGACATGAAAATTAAGATTCTAGCTATATGGTTTCTTAATATTTGTGCCTAATTTTCTTTATCAAAACTTGTTTAGAGTGCCACTCTTTCCTTCTCTTTCAGAAATATGGTTAATGAGATTGAAATAAGTGTGGCAATTTAAAAATGTCTAAGGAAGTGCTGTTCAACAGAAATTTCTATGATGAAGCAATGTTCTACTATCTGTACTGTCTAATTTGTTAGCCATTAGTCACACATGACTACTGAATACCTGAAATGTGATACAGCGACTGAAGAGCTAAATTAGTAATTTTATTTAATCTTAATTTACATAGTAGCATGTGATTAGTGGCTACTGTACTGAACAGTACATGTCTACAGTCTTGAAATTATTGACCATTTTCATTTACAAATACTTTTGAAATGGAGAAAAGTGGTTTCTTTAACAAAAGCTATGAACAAATTAGTTGACCAGAGTTTGATAGGAAATACTTTTGTTCTAATATGAACCTTTTATTTTAACCATAAAAATTAAGAAAGTCCTGTTTTTCACATGGCACAGCATATCATCTCTTAAGTATATATATTGTATTTAGCTGTGTATAATGTGTATTCTTTTGCCCAAATTTTTGAGGTAAAAATAAGGATGCATATTATATATGTCTAGTACCTGAAATACCTTGTATCTGTTCTTGTGTTTTGTAATTATTTGTTACATAAAATTTCTTGCATCATAATATGTTCAAAAACAAATGCTAAAATTTCTTGATAATACAAAATAAAACCTAAATATAAATAAATAAATTAATGAATGAATAAATAATTGAATTAAAACAAAAGATTTTTTCCTGAAAATCTGGCCCAAAAATGTGGGTGCACATTATACACAGCAAAATACAGTATACAACCCAAGAGAAACAACATTGCTACAGACTGCCCTAAAGAAACAATCAAGTAATCATTAGTGATAAATATATATGTGAATTATATAAATATTTATGTGAATTATATAAATATTTATAATAAATAATTAAGTAAATATAAATATATGTGAATTAAAGAGGTGAATGGTCCGCTTATTTTCTTTATTAAAAGCAAAGAAATAAATATTGTAGTGAGGAAAGAAAAAGTCTGTGCAAAGAATGAAACTTCAAGTGTGGGAAAAGTGAGAATTAGAAATAATTTGAAAAGAAATATCTCAGGCATAATGTGAAGCCTGAAAAAATAAGCCAAGGTAGATTATGTTTATTGACAAACTGCAGTTTCCTGAGAAGATAGTGACTTTATCTGCATAGTATGAAAAGTAGGAAATAATGAGGACTTTAGAAATGAATGAGTCTTCATTCTATACTTATTTCTAAGTCTTTATGTGACTCTCTTAAGTATGTATTTGAAAATTAAAAGGACTTTTAAACCTGGTTGTTTTGAAGTCTCTCAGAGCTGTAGAGATGTATTCAGATAAATGTTTTTCCATGAGTGCTACTCTGATCCAGGCTCTACCCTAAAAGGAAAAAGAAAAAAATCAAATATGAAAAAAAAATAGAAATTAAAACAATTTTTATCATTGCATCATCAACAATATAAACACTTTAATATTGTAAGAACAACTCATCCACAATATATATTTGATAATTTAAAAATTTTTAAGTAGATAATAGGTAAATTTTGAGTATTATAGGATAGATTTTGTTTCTCTGAAGGTATAGAGTTAAACTCTTTAACCTCTGAAGAAACAGAACCATTAATATTGAGTTACTTGGATCACAGTCTTCTTTTAAATCATAGAATGTAATCAAAAGACATAACACTCTACTTCTATGCCCAAGTCAACATGCTAAATAAAATAAATCCCCTTAGAAAACATGAGGGACAGAGTCTACTCTCTTTAATAATTCTCATACCATTTGCTTAAGAAAATGTATCACTTAACCTTCCAGAGGGAGGTTTTAGACAACTAGTAATGAACCAAATTTCATTATCTATCATGCATCCCAATCACGAGTCACTGAATTTGGTGCCCCCAGAACATTTTACAAAACTGATACCAAACATTTAGACCAGAAAGAACAATTAAACAAATATATCCCAGAAGCATGCTCTAGCACAAAATCACAGAAACAGAAAATTCTGACTAAATTTGAGTAATTTATTTTTACTTAGTTGGGACTAGCTAATTAATTTTTTAAATAATCCAAAACATTTCTTCTGGACTATTTATATAGAATGAAAGAATAGAAGAGGTTATACAAGAGAATTTTAAAATTCAATTACGCTCATTTTCACTCAATCCTTTCACAAATCTCCAGGAAGTCCAGGAAGGCCAACTACATAGAAAAATCAAAACACTGCAATGACCGTTGAGGATAAAGGTGACACTGATCAGTATCTATGATGTTCGACTACCAGTATGGAGGGAAAAAAAAAAGCATTCTTTAGAAATGACTCCCACTCTAGTAAATTCACTAAACTCTCAAATAGGAGGGATCAAAAAGGAGTCAAATCTAGACCGTGATAAAACCAGACAGCTAGAAGCAGCAGAGTTATTGGGAAATAAAGGAAAGATACGACTGTGGTTAGCATGCCAGTCAACTTGCCCACCAAGCTCAGAACCGCCCAGGGCTCGCTCCATTGTTCTTGATGAGTAAGCCCAGGGGAGCCTACAATTAGCTGTGGCTCATTGGAACAAAAGGTAGAGGTCACTGGCAAGCAGTCTCTTAAGATTCTTGAAATTTCATTTAAAAGACACAGAGACTAGCTGTGGTAGTCTGAATTAAAAGGCCAAGATTTCATCAAAACAAAAGCAGGGAAAGTTGCCCTCCAAAGAAAGTCAGACACAGGAGGCTGTGCTATTGATAGATGAGAAATATGAGGAAGTCCTGCTTCCTGATTTATTAATTTCAATCCATACAAAACTGGGCTACACCTAGTTTCCTGTCCTTGGATGTTTGTGGAATTCTGTTATATTGTGAAAATAAATTGTGGTGATTTTAACAGTTTCTTTCAACAAAAGAATTTTTACTAGTACAGAAGATAAACAGCCATTTATAAAGGTTTTGGGGCCATGGAGTGAGAAAACCAAAAACTAGATTTAATGTTTTAGACTTTACAAGTTAGTTAGGTAATGGTGAACTACTGAAGGTTTGTTTGGGTTTTTTTTTTCAGACACAGAAATATTAATTTGTCACTGAAGGTTTTTGTTTTTATAAAAAAGTTAAAAGTAGTCAACACTAAGAATGTAATAATATATGCTTGGCTGTGCTGTAAGAGCTTTATACACACATTAAAATATTTAATCCTCCCAATAACTGTGAGTTAGGTTACAATACTATCCCTACTTTACCACATAAGGAAACAAAAAATAGACAATTAGAAAACAGGAAACTCGTCTCACAAGCACCAAACTGACCAACCTAACTGAGTTAATACCCATATATTCTACCTTCCTTCCTATTTCAGGGAATTAATTGTCATCATTTTAGAGAGTGAAAGGACAAATCACGGAGTGGGCAAAGATATGTGCATTATATGTATTTGACAAAAGAATCATTCATAAAATACAAAGAACCCTTACATATCCATAATAAGAAAACTCAATTTAAAAATGAATCTGCAAGGGAAAGATTTTTAAGTACAGATTCAATTTCTTTAGCAGGTATCAGAATACTAAGACATTTTCTTTTTGTGTTAGTTTTGTAAGTGATATTTTTTCAAAGAATTTGCCCATTTCATCTAAATTTTCAAATTTATAGGTGTGAAGTTATTCATAATATTTTCTTTTAGGATTTTTAATGACTGTAGGGTCTCTGGGGTTGGGTTCTTCTTCATTCCTGAGGCTAGTGATTTATAAGCTCTCTTGTTTCTTCTTAGTCTTGCAAGAAGCTTATCATTTGTATTAATCTTTTAAGAACACCAATTTTTGGTTTTGTTGATTTTCTCCTAGTATACATTTGCTTCAATTTAACTGAATTTTTGCTCTTCATTATTTCTTTCTTTTTACCTTGAATCTATTACTTTTTAAAATAACTTCTTGAGATGAAAGCTTTGATCACTGATTTTCAGCCTTTATTCTTTTTTAAAAAAAAATACATACAAGCCTATTTAAGCCTACCTATTTTCCTCTAAGTACAAGTTTTTATGTATGTATTTTCATTATCATCACTTTCCAAATATTTTTTATTTTAACTGTAATTTCTTTCATCCATGAAATTGATTTCTTCTAGTCAACCATTTTTTTTTAGTTATCTTTATTATTAATTCTAGCTTAATTCTACTGTCACTGGAGAACAGTTTATATGATTTTGATCCTGTAAAACTCATTGAGATGAATTATAACTCAACAAATGATCAATTTTTGTATATGTTTTGTATGTGTTCAGTAAAAATGAGTATTCTGTAGTTTTTATTTTTTATATATTCCAGTTTTCTATTATTATCTTTATTTGTACTTTCTTGAACCTATTATAATTACTTAAAATTCCATTACCTGTATCTCCCATAGGTCTGTTTCAATTGTCTTTTTTTATATATCTCAGTTTTGATCATTTGATCTTGTTTCCTGAAATGCCTGGTGATTTCTGATTGAATACCAGACACTGTATATGAAAATCTGTTGCAGCTCTAATGATACCTTTCTCTAGAGTAGATTTATTTTTCTTCGGGTTGGCAGACAATGAACTTGAAAACTGCCATGCACCCTTTAAGGTCACCACTTTTTAGACCCTTTTTGGGCTGCTCTTCATCTGAATTTGCCTTCCTTCCAAGGGATAGCCTCTGAGGTCTCAGATAAAGCCTGAAGTGTTTACAAGGCCCCTCGAATGACCTTGAATTACAATGTCTGTTTCTTCAGAACAAGACTAAAATCTTTGATTGGCTTTTTAAGCCTTCTACCTGCTTTCAGCTTGGTTTACGAGACTTTTGCTCTGTGGTTCATATGACTAAGAGTTGGCAAACATCTCACAGGAACACCGCATGTGTAAGTTCAGGCCCACTGGTTTGCAGTTCTCTCCTCTGTAAATCCAGGTTTCACTGGCAGTTCCAAGCTCCAAGTTGTTTCACCAGCCCAGGGAAACTAAAACTCCATACTCTCTGCTTAGCCTCTATGATGAAATGAACAGACAAATGCCCTTAGGCTAAAAGCCAAGGTGACTGTAGGGCTTGCTTCATATGCTGTCCTCTCCAGGATTGTGGACACTGAAGTTCTCATGACTTGGTTGTTCTCTTCTGTCTTAAGTTAGTTGCTTTACGTATTTTACACATCCTTTATCACTGTTCTCGGCAGAAGAGTTCCTCTAATAAAAGCTATTCTGTTTTCACTGGAAGCTGAAACTTACTCATTTCTCACCTCCATGATCATCTCTTTAGGCTCCAATGAACCCTTCTAAATTGACTCTTTGCTCCTACCCCTCCTTTCTATGTTTTCTCCATACTGTACACAATTCATCATTTAAAAGTCAGATTATACTACTCTATTGCTTTTAAAAAAATGTAAAAAAGGAACCCTCAAGTAGCTCCCCATTGCATTGAAAATAATATCCAAAATCTTAATCATGACCACATCTCCCAGTCTACACCTTGCTTCCTCAGCTTAATATTTGCACAGCACAACTCTTCCCATAATTCACATCCTGACTCAAATATTGTCTAACAGAACCCTTCCCTATCTATTCCACCACTCCTATCACTATGACATATACATAATATATATGTTACGTATATACTTGTTTGTTGTATTACTAAAATGTGATGTATGTAACACTTTTTCTCTGTAATATCCCCTCCACCTCTGCCTCTTTCAGAAGAACATTGAGCTAACCTGCCTCTGGGACACAGCAGTGACAAGGCCATCTTCTGAGCAAGGGAAAAAGTAAACAAGAAGAGACAAACAAGACTAGGCAGGATTATGGACAGATATCATAAGGATGCAGTAAGGATTACATTCATAGTTTTGACATGGTATAGGTGCTCAATAAAAATTTGTCAGATGGAGGGACACATGGATATATGAATGGTTGATGTGACTAGTATATTCAGAAATTGGTCTAACACATTAAATTCACTAAAATATGAAATATAAAGGGTAAGCAACCACAAACTAGGAAAGCCAAACCTAGCCAAAAACAGTAACTGTTCTTAAAAACAAAGAAAACACACATGCACACATACAAGACATGCAGGAAGTTAGGAAGAACTCAAGAACAATACAGAGCTCATACTTAGAGGCCAAAACATAAAACTAAAAGGAAAAAAGGATTTTTCAAGCTTGAAATCAGTTGGAATATTAAGAAAATCCAATGGAGATATCTGCAAGATCAATAACAATAGTAACGGTGTATGCAGTCGGAGGACTTTCTGTCAGAGATCATATATTATTATGCTTATAAGTAATCAGCCCAATAGCATATGGGAAAGAAGGGCAAGTTCAAAAGAAAATGAAAGTGACTGTTGAGATGAAGTTATTTTTCTAAGACTGTTAATTCTAGTCTGAAACCTAAAAAAATTGATGTACAGAAATCCTATGTCCCAGAAAACCTGTATAATGTAGAAAAAACAAAGGCAAATATACCTGAGGTGGAACAATTATAGGCATGATCTTCAATTCAAATATTTTATTCCATTGTTAGTTTATGTTTAGGCTCTAGAAAATAGGTTCAATTAGTCACAGACAAAGCAAAGAAAGGGAACGGTCTGTATTTCATAGATCTTAGCCAACAGAGACTATGTATCAGAGCTCCCATGGGGGCAAGGCTCTCCAAAGTGAACCTATATCGTACCATGGTACTGGGATACAGATACTCCTGATTCAATCAGCTTGACTAAGTCTAAAAAATGTTTCTATACAGAATTAGCCATTGCTCCAGGGCGCATCTTGTCTTCCTCTGTTTAATATCTCATACACATAGCTCTAAAAATGAAATCAGAGTGAATCTGTCTTTTTATACAGAGTTAAAAAATGAAGCTCTCTTTTGATCCCAAGTGTACCGAATTGCATGTTGTTTAGCAACTGAGTTTGGAGCTTCGATTCTGATATGTTTTCACAAGTGTCAAGGCTTTATAAGAGCACTATATATGTTAGTAGTCACTCCAGGCTGTAGCTCAAAGGCCCAATAAACCAGCCATTTGAGGTGTTTGTTTAATCTTTCAATCCTGACACTCGGCAGGTGTAATTTACTGAGTAGATTAAGTACTTTCTCTTCCCACTGCAATGAATAAAGACAGAAGCAATATTTGCCTGCAGATTTTTCCCAGCATAACAGGCGAATCACAGATCTCTCTTTCCCACTAAATGGAATCTGTTTGAGGCCTGGTCAAAACAAAAACATAAATGCAAGATTTGGAATATGATTGTTCTGTGGTGTTCTGATACTCAACACTGGTTTTTTACAAAATAAATATTAACTTTCTCTGCTGGGCAGCATCTTGCTGTGTAGGGCCTAATCCCAAAAGTCTTATTAAGAAAGGTGGTAAGCTAGGGTTTGTGTTTCGTGGGTCCACCCAGGTACAAACATGACATTTTTAATGTTCTAACAAACATTAGGAAATTAGAACATTGTTAGAACATTAGAAATGTTTGTTAATGTTTTTATTAACAAACATTAGAAATACCTTTTGTACTTTGAGGTATGCTGGTTCTATAAATATATTCTCTTCTACATTGAAAGAATTTAGGATACAATTGTCATGTTAGTCTCTCCTACTTTTAATTTGAACATAAGAAAAAAAGTTTATGTAGCACCTGAGTACTGTCTGTTTTCATAGGCTTGATTTATTCAAATTATAGCTAGTCTTTTAATCTTAACCTTCAAAGCCAAGATATTATTCTTAAACCATAAGGAAAACTGATACAAACTCAACTAAGATGCAAAGAAGAACTCAAATTGTACATTTTTAAACCTGTAGGCAATCAGACAATTAGAAAGTAAATAAATGAATAAATTCAATATTTCAAGAAAAGGAAGGCCAAAAGACTAGTAAGACAGTAATTGTGACTAAAACTGTGCTATATAATTAAAAGAGATAAAACATCTATAAGAAAAAAGTGTTTAATTAAAAATATAGTTATAATTGACTTAAAAATGAAGATATTTATTGGCCTAAGAAATACATGAGGTGGAAGAAAACTGATCCAATCTTAACGAGTTAGAAGATAGTGCAGCAGAAGGTGAACTGTTATTCAGTTCACCTCCTGCCTGGAGACTGGCAAGAGGATGCAGAGCAGCGAGCAATGGTTTCAAAAAACAAACTGTACATCTTCAAAAGGTGACAAAAATCATGGCTATCAACTTTATCCAAAAATATACTTCCATAATATGAATTTTAAGTTCTTTAACTGTGTTTCTAACTATATCACTGCATTTCAATATTATAAATCTTGTTTTAAATAACTTAAACATTCAGTTCATGTTTTACAAAATGTTTTAATTTCAATATGTATTAGTCAGTTTTGTGAACCACAATTTTTCCAAAACAATTCCTAAATAAAAATGGATACAGGAATAATAAATTTAGAAACTATTCTTTTGAAAGATAATCATTATATTTGTATTTACTATACAGACTTATAATTATGTTTATAGTAAAGAAATAAGGAACTGAATTATGTTTTGACCTTAAAACCATATATAACTATTTTCAATTTTTATTTTCTACTGGTTTCATTCTGTAATTATTGTGTCAAAAATAGGAAGGAAAGTTACTATGACAATCCAATTAACAAAAAACCTAAACTAAAGCTGATATGGTTTATATCAGCAGCTCTGACATTTTACAATCTTAAACATTTTTGAGGATTCCAAAGAGTCTTTATATAGATTATATCTATCAATGTTTACTATATTACAGGTCATAACTGGAAACTTTAAAATACTACATAATTTAAAAAATAAACCCATTAAATTTTAACATAAATAACATTTTTACAAAAAAGTTATCTAGTCTTAAACAAAAAATGTTAGCAAGAAAAGTGGCTCTGTTTTTACATTTTTTCCTTAATGCATGGCTTAATTAAAGACAACTAGATATCTGCTTCTGCATTCAATCTGTTACAATGTGGTGTTTTGATTTAAGCATATGAAGAAAATCTAGCTTCATAAGGATACATAGTTGGAAAAAGGAATCTTTTAGTAGCCTTTTCAGATAACTGTGGATATTCTTTTTTGGTTCTACATCAAAACTTAGTAAGTAATCATTTCTTAAAGGTTAATTTCAACATGAAATCTCTAACCACCTAATGAACTTTTCATACTGTATTACATTAAATTCATTAGTCTATTGCACTTCTAATGGATTTTTTACCCATGATTTTAGAATACCATGCATCTGTCATTTGGAAAATATGTTACATACATCTACCACACTGTAACATATTTCATTAAATAATTAAAAAATACATTTGTTAAAAAATACATTTGTTAATATCAATGTTATCAGAAAAGCCTTTAAGTACTAGGAAGCTATCAAGCTTAAGATGGTGAATATAAGTTTTCAAAAATTCTAATTTTTACATAAAAACTTTAATTTTACTATTGGCCACAAATACTGTCAACTGTTTTCCCTGAAGTAATAGGTTCATTTTGTTCATTTGTATTCAAGGAATATCCACCAAATGTCTAAGTCTAAAAAACCTATAGTTTCTATATTTTTCTTTCAAATAACAATAGTATCACATGGCAAAAATGTCTAGTTCAGCTTAAAATGCAAACAACTTCATGAACTTTCCTTGACAAAATATCATATTTCAATATGCTGCAGGAATGCTTTCTGCATACTTTCCATATCTCAGGATATGAAAAAGATAGGTACTCAAAGGTTAAGATTTAATAAAATTAATAATGTTTACTGAGCCACCATGGACATTCTTAAGTGAAAATAGCTTTCTTTTTTTTTAAGACTCAGCTAATGGTAGGGAAGAATTCAATGATTACTAGTCTAGTTTGATGCCATTGTCTTAGTTTATGCTAAGGCACAAGCAATTTTGCCAACCAGTGCTTCTGTATTAGCAATGCAAATGTCGATACAGTGCAAAAACCAAGTCACATTTTGCTGTTATATGAAAATAGTTTTGACATTATGGACCCCCAGGGTTCTTTAGGACACTGAGAGCCACTAGTTTAGATAACTAAAAAATATAGAAAATTCAAAGAATAAGAAATATTTAATTGTTCTTCTAAATAGTGACTAGCTTCATACCTTCCGGCTAGTCATAAGGCAACAGCGAAGATTCAAGAGCATTCAAAAATAACTACATGCAATAAAAAAGGAAACAAACCTCTGGCAGATGTTAAATTTAGTCAAATGCTTAATTCCAACAGAGAAAACAAATATTTTATATAGCAAAGAGCTCACAATTTCTTAATTGGGTCAAGACTGCATAGGATTATACACCTTGCATGTTATTATCTACATCTTACCTTAGCTCTAGAGGAACTGACATTTTCCATATTTTCAATGCTGCAGATACAATTCTGTGAAACCTTCCGGCAAGCCACTCGGATATAGTCCCAGAAGCTACGTGGACTTTCATAACCAAACCAGGTTACTTGACCTGTAGGAGACAAATTGAAATACAAAATGAAAGAAAACTAGACTAGCAAATTCAAAATACAAGAACAATAAAACCCTGAAAACCAAAAGCCAGTGCGGTGTGGTATAATGGAAAGGGCACGGATCTCAATGTCAAAAACTTTTAAATCTGGTCCTGGTCTACCTTTACAGAGTTGTTGTTACTTTGGACAGTTTATTTAATAAACCTGAATCACAGTTTTCTCAACAGTAAAATCAAACTAAATGAAGTAAAAAGGGTCTAAACACGAAAATATCACTTGCAGTTTAATAGCCTATTATTCTAACATAGTCTTTATATATCACACAGATGAATTTCCTGGTGGCTCTAGTTGAGCATTAATTTAAATGTCACCAGTTGTACTCTAAAGCTTTCTCTACTCAGAAAAACAGAAAAAATAAATAAAAACATAACCTTCTTTCTCCTCTTCATGGGGATTCTTTAAAGAAATGAAATAATGTGTGTGGTCTATCCTAAAAATAAACATAATCAGTTAGAATCCTGCATTCACTAATCATTTATAATCTTCTACCCACCCATTCTCATCCATAAAGCTATCATTCATCTGCTTTCTTCTAGTCACCAATCCATGAAAAGTCCTTCAGGAACTTGCCATTCTAATCTTTCAGATTTGAGTAATTATGTATCTGTTTGATTAAAAAAAGTTCTCTTCTGTGTCTCATATTAGTACTAATATTTTTATGCAGGACTTTGAGTAGTAGATCCATGGAAACCATTTTGTTCTTAGTACTGTTAAATGGGATGAGAAATATCTTAATACCTAGGGGAGATGATCTTACAATTGATCTTACCTAGATAAGTTGTTTAATCTTAATGTAGAAATATTAGCTTTTATATTTTTAAATCTGTGCTTGTTTTCAATTATTATTATTTTTTTATCTCAAATCTTTCCTTCCCCAGTAATAGCTTCTCTCTAAGCAATATCAAATAGTGTTCTTGTCGGCAAGCACCATTTTAGGGGCCATGTTTGATATAATATTTGAGCAATTTCCAACCACAGCAGCCCATAAAAATACCTGGGCTTCTTTGTGAAAATACTCATGCCTGGGTCCCACCAAAACTACATAATCAGAATCTTTAGGGGAGGGCTCAGGCATTGGTATTTTTAAAAACATCCACCCTGGCTGGTGTGGCTCAGTGGACTGAGCGCTGGCCTGGGAACCCATAGGTCACTGGTTCAATTCCCAGTCAGGGCACATGCATGGGTTGCAGGACTGGTCCCCAGTTGGTGGCAGGCGAGAGGCAGCCATGCATTGATGTTTCTCTCCCTCTCTTTCTCCCTCCCTTCCCCTCTCTCTAAAAAACAGTAAATTAAAAAAATCTTTATACAAATAATAAAAAAAAATAAAAAGATCCCTCTGGTATTTTTAACAATATACTTATGGTTAATCAACCAATACAAAGCCTACACATACTGACAGCTAACTCCAATCATCATTCAGGACACTTTAAAGCCCTCCTCTTCTTTTTAAGCCATGCATGATCTCTACAGCGAGTCAGTCCCTTACTTATCCTTATAATTACTTGTTCACTTGTTTGTCTCACATATTAGGTGGTAAAAATGCTAAGGCGGGGATTGTGTCTTATTTGTCTTTAAATCTATCTCCAGCACTTGATAGAGTTGCTGGCTCACAGTGAGCATTCAATAAATATTTATTAAACAAATCAACTGATAAAGCAGGATAAAACAGATCATCTCAATTGCAATGCATGTAAAATTTTGAATTTTAAAAAATCTGATATATTTTTATAGTTAACAGTTCAATGACAATCTGGTATCAAGATGTTGCTATGCTACATTATAAATATCAAATATTCTAAGCAAAATATTTACATATATGTATATATACATATATAAGCATCTACAAATCCTTACTCAAATATGTAACTTAAATGTCTCTTTAAAAATAAAATATTACTACCAACAAACAAACCTATAGGGACATTGTATGTATAATCTCCCTCAATTTTGTCTCTCAATCTCTCCACATCACTGTCTTCAGCTTCCTCTCTTCTTTAGTGAAAGTTAAAGTATCTTTAGTTAAAGATACTGGAAGAGTATCTCAGTATAGCTTGTCTTTAGGGCAATTTTCATGTCATCAATTTGTTAGCCTTTTGGAGAGGAGTCAGATCATTTTCTAGTCATGCACTCTTGAGCAAATGACTTCACTCTCTAAGTCTTCCTTCTATAAATTAACAGTAACTGTAGTATCTCCATGAGAACTTGTAGATTAGGTAATGTGTGTACAGGAATTAGTATACAGTCTAGTATAAATGTGAACAATTAATACTGTTATTATTACTTCTATCACACAAATAATTAAGGGACCCAAGTTCCCCTTGCACCATGAAGTGGAAATCAGATGAAAAGTTAAGTTTTTCCCATTACTTGCTTAGAACCTAGAAAGATCTTTAAAATTTACTCCCCAATCCAACCTTGTCCCCTATCAACCATTCTAAATTTTTGCCTCCCTAAAATGTGTCAAGGATCAAGTAATTTTCTTTGCCTACAATTAATTGGAATCACTGCATAATTTTAAAAAGAGAGGTATAGCTGCCAGAATTCTCTCAAGAAAAGGAGTACTAAATGTTGGCAGGGATCTTAAAAAAGGGAGAATCACAAAGTTCCTCTGGTGACTTTATTTTAAGCCTCATGAGTTTGACATGGTTGAGGGAAAAATAGGAAAGTAGAGTTGTCGGAAACTAAAAGAATATAACAAAGTTCCATTTTGGAGGAGAGAAAACAAAAATATAGAAAAGCTAAAAATCTAGAATTAAATTAAACAGAGAAGGGATGGGCACTAAATCCTTAGGACTCCTGCTATGGGTAGGATATGTGCTCTACAAGACGTTTACCCAAGAGATAATGACAAGATTTCCCAAGGTTCAAACTAAGAAACTAAACGATTAATAGAATGGCATACCATCAAAATTTTCAGTATTTTAAAAAACTAGTATTATCTTCATAATACTCTACTCAGCAAACTAGAAGTGAAGATGACTTGGCTTGATTCTGCCTTCTGTCCTCTTCCATGTGCATCATTTCCAAAGTCTTTAAATAAAGGCACTAAATTGTTGTTCACATTCAAAAGGACCAGTTTTGATGAAAAGAAGGTGGATTCCCTTATTAGAACCGCCAAATGCTCTCATATAAATTGTCTGTGCATCTTAGAACATTATTTAAATAATTAAATAATTTCTGTATCAATGAAAATGGTTGAATTTAATTGAATAGAAGGGTTCAATTGGTTATTTGAAATATTATTACTTGAACATTACTTTTTCTTAAATGCAGATTAACTGCTAGCAAAAGATGTACTTAATCTGTAACCAGTATTCAACAAGAAAATTGAAAAACCAAACCAAACCACAGGCTAATCATGCCTTCAAAAACAACCACTGAAATAATGAATAATCACTTCCAAGATACTTCCATTTCCTTTAGAAATAACCACGAAAGCAAATCACATAACAAGAAACTGATTAATCTGTATCTTAAAGAAATTTTATTACAGAGAAGAAATATGCTGTCATTAGCAATTCTCTTTTTAAAGTTCTGAGTATAGGTGTATAATATACTTTCAATTTTTTAAATATATAAATATGTATAATTATATATATTCTTAGAAGTTGACTTTTTACCAATGCCAAAGCTATACAACTTTTTGAAACTTACTCCCATTCTATCAATCCAACTTCAATTCATTTTCAGCACAGACATAAGTGGTGAAAGGTATGCTAGGCCAAAAGGTGATCTGCTACTAACCAACTATGTGATATCTTTCCCACTAAACTACCTCATTTTCAGCACCCAAAAATAACATGTGACTTCCAGAATCCAATATTATTCTAAAATTACTCTTCTACATTATTTAAAACATCTATTCACTTCATGCAGTATGTTTGTGTTTTGCTTATATCTTATATTTTTTGGCTAGCATGAAACCTTTCTAAGAACAAGAACTAAAATTTCTATAGTGGTTCTCTGGCAAGAAGTGGCTAATGACACATAATCTTTTGATAATATAGAATATAAAGAAATCTGTTAAGTTATTTCATTTCTCCATGCTTTATTTGTACTTAACAATGCAAAGAGCAAATGAAAAACAGGTCTCACAAGCTGAAGTTCTTATAGCATTACAGTACTATCACCTAGATGATAATATCAAGGTTATTGTCTTAGAGCTGCTATTCATCTAGACAAGGACTGTATTTTGCCATGTATAATGCGCACTTTTTTGCCCAAATCTCTGAGGGAAAAATAAGGATGTGCATTACACATGGCCATAATGATTACATACTATGGGGTATAATAATCCCATGTATGTGCACAAAAATATGGGTGCGCATTATACACAGCAAAATGTGGTAATAAAGAACAGCCATATCAAATCTTATAAACTCAGTTTGATATTTTCCACTATCTTTTACTAAACAGAGAAAATTCCCATTTCTGTAAGCAGTTAGAATCTTTTCTTTAAAAAAAAAAGTAGTATTATTAGTTGAGGTTCATATTTATTAAACCACTCAGCTTTGAAGGTAAAATTATGACCTTGAATAATATTCTAAATAAAATATCATTAATGTTTTTAAAAAAGATAACAAATTTAGACTCTTTAAAAGAATTTACATTTTAAACTGAATCTTAAGAAGTCTGAGTCTAGATTAGATCATTGTACTTATATTGCTAGTTCTGTATGTTACAGGATGCTTCAAAGAAATTATTTAGCAAATATGCATCATAGTTACTAATCTATAAAATGCAGTTATTATTCTTTATTACAACAATTAATTTCTTGTTCACTGGTAATAAATTTATCACAAATATCTAAAGTATGTATCTATACAATAAAAACTATTAATCTTCCAAAACCAAAAATTAGGATAAACAAGTTCACCCAAAACTCTGAAAACCAAATTTGACCTAATAGGTTTATTTATCCCAGCAATTTGACCATCCT